GAGCTGAAGAGCTAAGGGACAGCGCCCAGGCCCAGAGTTCAGGCCCCACGATCAGACCCCCCCCCCAAAAAAAAAAAGAAGTGGCCAAAGTTTGGGTTTATTTTGAGGGTGAAACATAAGGGATTTAGATGTAGTTTGAGAGAAAAAGAAGGGACATCGCAGGTTTTGGTCTGGATAATTTGAAGGGTGATGGTGCACTTTACTAATGTGGGGTGGCCTGTAAGGTGAGCACACTTGATCAAAAGTGCCTTTATGTTGTTGTTGTTGTTGGTTGTGAGGCTTTAACTCAGGGCCTAAGCACTGTCCCTGAACCTCTTTGTGCTCAAGGCTAGCATTCTATCACTTGAGCCACAGCACCACTTCTGGCTTTTTCTGATTAGTTTATTGGAGATGAGTGTCACGGGGACTTTTCTGCCAGGGCTGGCTTCAAACCTCGATCCTCAGATCTCAGCCTCCTAAGTAGCTAGAATTGCAGGTGTGAACCACTGACACCCTGCTCAAAGTACTTTTAGAGGATCGGCACTAGTGGCCCAGGTCTATAATCCTAGCCTCCTGAATAGGAGGCTGAGATCTGAGGATTGCAGTTCAAAGCTAGCCTGCGCAGAAAAGTCCATGAAACTCTTATCTCTACTTAACCACCAGAAAACTGGAAGTGGTGCTGTGGCTCAAAGTGGTAGAGTGCTAGTCTTGAGCTAAAAGAGCTCAGGAGCAGCGCCCAGTCCCTGAGTTCAAGCCCCATGACCAACAACAGCAAAGAGTGCTTTTTGATGTACTAAGTTTGAGGTCCTTGCTGTAGAATGATCAGTGTTTCAGGGGCATTTTGAGTGGACAGTCTAGGAGAGACAAGCTGGAGGTTTAAGGTGAAACTTTTGGTATCTTGGCTAGCATTTAAAGTCAGCATTGATGAGATCACTCTAGGAGTGTGTACTCAGTACTGAGCCCTGTGGGAGGTAGAGGAGATGAGGAACTAGCAAAGGTGGCAGTGACAAAACACCTGTGGTGTCCCTGCCATATCCTGGAAGTCAAGTCAAGTAGAAGGGAGTGTCTAGATCATATATTGTTGATAGGTCAGTAAGATTGGGCTTGAAAACTGATTATTGGATTCAACAATGTAAAGACAGGTACTAATACTTACAAAAACAGTTTGGGATTGGGGTAAGAACCACAGCTTTATTGGAATGACCAGAAATGTTCAGAAAGGAGTTTAGTTAGCAAATTTACACAAGTCTTTGTTGTGCTGTCTCCCCTCCCTGCAATCTCCAACTTACTTTCAACTAGTCATGTTAAAAGAGTAGGTAAGATAGATGCCTCACCTTCTCCCAGCATTCATAGTTCACAAAGAAGCAGTATTTAAGCAGTAATTACAGTTTAGTGTGGTAGACGTTGTTAGCAGTGATATAGAAGATTATCTAGGCCAGAGCTTTTCCTTCTTTAAACAGAGTCTTTAGCTTCTGCAGATGTTAAAAATAGGATGATTAAGTGCACCAGTGGAAGCTTGTTTCCAGTTTTTGTTGTTATTGGTTGTAGGGCTTGAACTCAGGACCTGGGCACTGTCCCTGAGCTCTTTTGCTCAAGGCTAGTGCTCTGCCACTTTGAGCCAAAGCTCCACTTCTGGTTTTTAAATGGCATTTGGAAATAAGAGTCTCATGGGGACTTTTCTACCTGGATTGGCTTCAAACTGCGATCCTTAGATCTCAGCCTCCTGAGTAGCTAGGATTACAGGCGTGAGCCACCGGCTCCTGACTTGTTTCCAGTTCTTACTGCTGCTGGTTCCTTCACAAGACAAGGAGTAGTCTGAGAGCAGCATAAAACAAGGGCACACCTAGAGCACAAAGTTAAAGAGGCTTTTACCCAACTTTGGGTAAGTTCAGAGTCAGCAACACTTATAGCAAGCTGAGAGTGAATGCCTCTTTAAATTTTGTGCCTTCTCTGCTTCTCATAAACCATGAGTTGGACAGCTTTCCTCTGGTGCTACCACTGTGATGTTCTTCCTCACCACAGGCTCCATGATCCTGTGGGACAAAGTCAATGAAGACTTAAACCATGAATCAAAATAAATCCTCCTTAAAAATAGACAAACAACAAACCAAACATGCTTTAAGGCTTTACTTGATGCATCCTGGCTCTGGTTGTGAAGAGAAACCTTTGAGTTTTTTCACCCTAAATGGCCTACATGACAAAAAAGGGAAAATACCCCTCTTTTTATGTTTCTCTTGTAAACTTTCTGTCCCAGTTATATCGGATGAGCTTTTTGGGGGTAGTACTGGGAACTGAACTCTGGGCTTCTGGCTTGCTAGGTAAATGCTCTACCACTTGAACTATACCTAATCCTTCCTCCCCCCCCCTCCCGCTCGCACCCCCATTCCTCAGTCCTGGGGCTTGAACTCAGGGCCTGGGCACTGTCCCTGAGCTTCGTTTGCTAAAGGCTAGCACTCTACCACAATGCCACTTCTGACCTTTCTTTTTATGTGGTACTGAGGAATCAAACACAGAGCTTCATGCATGGTAGGCAAGCACTCTACCACTAAGCCACATTCCCAGCCCTCTTTTCCTTTTAATTTGTTTTTTAGATCGTGTCTTGTGCTTTTGCCTAGACCAGCATTATAGGCATGTGCCACCATGATCAGCTCAGGTTTTTGAAGCTTGCTATTATTTGATGAGCTAATAAAAGTGTTGTTTTACTTGATAAGAAATGTACTCACTATCTTGCCCTTTTGTAACCCCTCTGTATGGTATTTTCACAATAATAAAAAAACAAAAAAAGTTGTTTTACCTTTTTTTGAAAGTGAAATTCATATAATCTAAAGTGAACCATTTAAAGTGGACAATTCAGTAGCACTTAGTGTTTTCATAGTGTTGCTCAACCACTATTTCTCTCTAGCTTTGAAACTTTTTATCACCCTGAAAAAACATCCATACTCCTTAAGTAACCATTCAGGTCTCCCTCTTATCATCCCTAATAACCTCTAGCCTACATTCTGTCTCTAGGGAGTCTCACTTTATCCCTTGGCTGTGATCCACTTATTTGTGCTTCTCTGTATCACTGTGGATGACAGGCATGTGCTATTACAACCAGCCATTGTACTTCCCTTGTGGCTGGGATAATAAGTTGAGAAATAGTCTTGTGAACTTTATTTTTGTTGGGGCTGGCCTTGAATAGTCCCAAGTAGGTAGGATTACAGGTGTGAGCCAAGATAGCTGCAAAGTTATTAAAGCATTCCAGATGGATATGAAATGGTATGACATTGCTTTTATTTGTATTTCCTTAAAAACTTGTAATGCTTATTGTTGGATATTTAATGTATTGTTTGGAGAAATGTCTCTGAGTCCTTTTCCCATTTCTTAATTGCCTTGTTTGACTTGAGTTGTAAGAACTTCTATACTCTGGATGTTAAGTTTATATTGAATCTAATTTTTTTTTGCAAATGTTTTCTCTGGTTCTATATGTTGTCTTTTCACCTTGATCATGCCCTTTCAGGCACAGTAGTTTTCAAAATCAATACTATTTTGATTTCTGAATTTTCATCACTGTTTCTAGGAGACAGCTGTTGTAATCCCATAAGCATGGGTATCATCAAGAAAATGGTTGAGAAGGAAATACCTGGAATTTATGTCTTGTCTTTAGAGATTGGAAAGACCATGGTAGAGGTAAGACCCTCCACAGCCCTGTCCCCTTAAAGGTTTCACATACAGTTTCATAGAATGTACTATGAGAGCCCAGTGTCCATGGCTCATGCCTGCAATCCTAGCTACTCAGGAGGCTGAGATCTGAGGATCATGGTTCAAAGCCAGCCCAGGCAGAAAAGTCCATGAGACTCTTATCTCCAGTAAACCACTCGGAAAACCAGAAGTGGCAGTGTGGCTCAAGTGGTAGAGCACTCGCCTTGAGCTGAAGCACTCAGGGACAGTGCCCAGGCCCAGAGTTCAAGCCCCACAACTGACAGACAAAAAAAAAAAAGTACTATTAGAGTGATTCACCTTACATTTTTTTTTTAGACATTAAGTCATATAATAGCTTGGCACTGGTGGCTTCCACCTCCTGGCTACTCAGGAGGTTGAGATCTGAGAATTGCAGTTCAAAGGCAGCCTAGGCAAGAAAGTCTATGAGACTCTTATCTGCAATTAACCACCAGAAAACCAGAAGTTGTGCTGTGACGAAAAGTGGTTGAGCACTAACCTTGAGCAAAAGAGCTCAGGGACAGTGTCCAGGCCCTGAGATCAAGCCTCACAAACTCAAAAATAAAAATACACACACACACACAGCCTCAGATTGGCTTGGAACTCACTAAGTAGCCCAGTCCAGAAACTTGAGATCCCTTGAGATCCTCAGCCTCCTGAGTGCTGGGATTATAGATATGCACAGCTACATTGGCTAATTAGCCCCATTGTCCACTGCTTGAACTCCAAGCTTTGTGCTTGCTAGGCAGGAGCTTGTTTTCATCATTTGTAAAAATAGGATAGGACTATAGTCCTATTCATACTTTCCATGTAGCTGGAATGACAGGTGTGAATCACTATGCACTTTTTTTTTTTTTTCTTGTCGATGGAGATGGGAAGGGGTCTTAAAGCTTTTTGCCTAGGCTGGACTCAAATTGCAGTTCTCCTGATCTCAGCCTTCTAGTATATAGGATTACAGATATGAATTACTGTGCCCACTTATCTCCACTCATGAGTAGTTTGTGTCAAGGAACCAACACCAACCTGAGTGAGTTCACATCTTAGAGAAAATACAAGTGATTGCTTTCAATCCAACCCTTTCATTTCTCTGTATCTCTGTGACTCCTTTTTTAGGACGTGGAGAACAGCTTCTTCTTGAATGTCAATACCCAAGTATCAACAGTGTGTCAGATTCTTGCTAAAGATCCTAAATTACAGCAAGGCTACAATGCTATGGGATTCTCTCAGGGAGGCCAGTTTCTGTAAGTCTCTTTCTGCTGTATAGTGGCCTTTGCATTTTGCAACTTGGTTTGTTTCTTGTTGTTGTTTACCAGTCCTGGGGCTCGAACTCAGGGCCTGGGCACTGTCCTTGCGCTTCTTTTGCTCAAGGTTAACACTCCAGCACTTGAGCCACAGTGCCACTTCTGGCTTTTTCTGTTTATGTGGTACTCAGGAATTGAACCCTGGGCTTTATGCATGCTAGGCAAGCACTCTACCACTAAGCCACATTCCCAGCCCTGTTTATTTCTTCAGATAAACTGGACTCTAATTCTTTGGGATCTTAGTTATTCTGAAATGGCCTCATGTACTCAAACAAATCATGTTAAGTGAGGTAAGCCAAGCTCAGAGAAACAAGTGGCACATTTTCTTTCTGATATGTGGAAATTAGATCTAAAATACACTATGATATGATAAATTATACAGGATTTTAGAGACACACAAAGTAAGACCAGAAGAGGATACTCATAGGAGAGAAACACAAAGGCTCAATGCATAAGTGCCTCATATGTATATAAAATAACATACATTTTGAAATGAACTCTAAGATAATGAAACCAGAGACCTTTCTTTTTTTCTTTTTCTGTTTTGATGATTCTGTCTTCTTTATGTATAGTATATTTAGTGTATATCTTTGGGAGGGTTGGGGGAGTTTTGGTATGAGCTGTAGAAATAGGGAAAAAGGGTGAAAAAGTGCAGCAGTGGAGATCACTGGACGTTGATGAAAGTGAACTATACAACTCATGGGTGGAGATGGGAGGGAGGGCTTAGGAGAGAGTGAGGAACAGAAGACACTGCATGAAAGGAAATGTACTCATTACCTGACTCATGTAATTGTAATTCCTCCTTATATCACCTCTATAATAACAATAAAGTAAATTAATAATAAAAGAAAATGGCCTCATGTTGGAAGCTGTATGGAAACTTAATTTATTTTCTATGAAAGAATGATTTGTATATAGACAGAGCAGAGGAAAATCCTATAACTAACTCTGTGGCTTTGGAAAAACACAGTGGATCAAGGTGCTTATTAATCTGTAAAGCCAACTGTTGATTCTTTCCCATCTTTCATTCAGAGCTGATAACCCCTTTTATTTCTCCAGGAGGGCTGTGGCTCAGAGATGCCCTTCACCTCCCATGGTCAACCTGATCTCAGTTGGGGGACAACATCAAGGTAACACTGACCTCTTCATCTCCTTGTTTCTTTTTTATAATTCATGTGCCCCCTTGATTTATTTATTTACTTTTCTTGATCTAGCAGTTTTATTTGCACAGTAAGCCAATCACCCTTGTAAAATCCTATTTCTACAGCTCATACCAAAAGTAGGCAGCCTTAATGAGGAGATAGGAAGTGACTAAAACAGAGGTTAGCATCTACTGAATAAGGTTAGCATCCTCTTTTCTCCCATTTAATTGAATTGATTTTGGAAGAAAAGTGGTTGCAGCAGTTGGTGGAAGTTAAGAAAACATATGACTTGCCCTATTTTCAAACACCCTATTTTTAGGTGGTAGGATGGTGGAGTACAATAGGGGATTTCAGCTCAGGGCTTTGCATTTCTTAGGCAGGTGCTCAACCACTTGAGGCATGTCCTGAGTCCTTGGGTAAAAATCATGTATAAGTACCTTGGTCTATAAATTTAAACAGTAGCCAAATAAACTGAAAAGTAGAACCTTTTCTATTTACACAGAAGTTCCTCTGAGGGGAAAGAATATTAGGTATTATAAATAATTGGGCGGTGATTTAAAGAGATGGAAGGAAGCTAAGGATGAAAGTATTTCTGAGAAAAGGTACTGGTGGGGAAGGCTGAGAAGGTGGCTCAGTGGTAGAGCGCTTGCCTCGCATGCATGAGGCCCTGGGTTCAATTCCTCAGCACCACATAAGCAAAAAGAAAAAAGCCAGAAGTGGTGCTGTGGCTCAAGTGGTAGAGTGCTAGCCTTGGGCTGAAGAGCTGAAGGACAGTGCCCAGGCCCAGAGTTCAGGCCCCATGACCGGACCCAAAATAAAAAAAGGTACTGGGGTGGATGCTACTTGAGATTGGCTTACCATAATTGATTTTCCTAAGCAAAGACTTAATAAACAAGATGAATATAGCTACTTGCTGTAGAGTACAAGCAGTACTCCTCCAGTATGGATTGAGCCTTTTTTTTTTTTTTTTTGGTCAGTCATGGGGCTTGAACTCTGGGCCTGGGTGGTGTCCCTTAGCTCTTCAGCTCAAGTCTCTACCACTTGAGCCACAGAGCCACTTAGGGTTTTCTGAGTGGTTTATTGGAGATAAGAGTCTCTCGGAGTTACCTGCTGGGGCTGGCTTTGAACCATGATCCTCAGATCTTAGCCCTCCTGAGTAGCTAGGATTACAGGCATGAGCCATCAGTGCCCTGCTTAAGGCAGAGACCCTAGGCAGCAAACAATGGAAGTGTGTAGAGGAAGCTGTTTACACTCTTTCCTGGAGGAATGAATGATTGGGATGTGGCTTGTGCCTGTTTTGGTTTTTCACAGTGCTTTGTACATAGTAGATATCTGTTATGATGATTAGAGGAATGGATGTTTGTCTCTTATATTTCAGGTGTCTATGGACTCCCTCGATGTCCAGGAGAGAGCTCTCACATCTGTGACTTCATCAGAAAAACACTGAATGCTGGCGCTTACTCTAAAGTTGTTCAGGAACGGTGTGTATTTATAGCTGAAAAAGATACAGATCTGCCACTGTGTGATGTTCATACTAGCAGTGATGCTAGGAGGTGCTAATGATATTTGAATGGCATTTATTTATTTATTTATTTTTATTTTATTTTTGGTTGGCCGTGGGGCTTGAACTCTGGGCCTGGGAGCTGCCCCTCAGCTCTTCAGCTCAAGGCAAGCGCACTACCAATTGAGCTACTGCACCACTTCCGGTTTTCTGGTGGTTTATTGGAGATAGGAGTCTCAGGGTCTTTCCTGCCCCAGCTGGCTTTGAACTGTGATCCTCAGATCTCAGCCTCCTGAGTAGCTAGGATTACAGGTATGAGTGACCGGCGCCTGGCTTGAGTGACATTTATTGTAACTTTCTGTACTGTCTGCCCACTTAAACTTGCTCAAAAAAAAAGCTGTTATCAGAGAGAGAGAAAAGAGAATGAAAGGAAGAAAGAGGAAGAAAAGATGGAAGGAAGGAAGATGAGGGATGGAGGGAGGGAAGAAAGAAGGAAGGAAGAGAGGGAGGGAGGGAGATAGGTAGGTCTATTTTTCTATGTAGGAAGAATGCAATTATAATGAATATTCATCCTTGGGGCTGGGAAGGTGGCTCAGTGGTAGAGCACTTGCCTTGCATGCATGAGGCCCTGGGTTCGATTCCCCAGCACCACATAAGCAAAAAGAAAAAAGCCGGCAGTGGCACTGTGGCTCAAGTGGTAGAGCACTAGCCTTGAGCTGAAGAGCTGAGGGACAGTGCCCAGGCCCAGAGTTCAGGCCCCATGACCGGACCCAAAAAAAAAAATGAATATTCATCCTTAAAAACAAAAATAGGGAGATATCTGTAGGTATACAGAATGGGTGTGAAAATGACCTCCCAAAGATCCTCTGTTCTATTTTTTTCCAGATAGTTCTGAGTCTTTCAGCCTCATTTTCTTCTATCTCTAATGTGAGTTAGTGACAGTACCTTACTGTGGGCTGTTGTAGGTATTAAAACAAATGGAGTATAAAGCATTTAGTGTAGGGCTGGGAAGGTGTCTCAGTGGTAGAGCGCTTGCCTTGCATGCCAGAGGCCCTGGGTTCGATTCCTCAGCACCACATAAGCAAAAAGAAAGAAGCCAAAAGTGGCGCTGTGGCTCAAGTGGTAGAGCGCGCTAGCCTTGAGCTGAAGAGCTGAGGGACAGCACCCAGGCCCAGAGTTCAGGCCCCATGACCGGACCCCAAAAAAAAAAAAAAAGCATTTAGTGTAGTGTTTACTTCTTAGGAAGCAGGCAGATTTTGATTATCAAAACCTGGTGATAGCAGGGCACCAGTAGCTATTCAAGAGGCTGAGATTTGAGGGATTGCAGTTTGAAGCCAGCCCAGTCAGGAAACTCAGTGACTCTTCAATAAACTTTTCAGAAAAAGCTGGAAGTGGCACTGTGGCTCAAGTGGTAGAGTGCTCGCCTTAAGCACAGAGTCTTAGCCACAACACCCAGGCCTTGAGTTCAAGCCCCAGGATTGGCAAAAATGAAACACAAACCTGGTGGTGGCTGGGTGCCAGTGGCCCTTGTCTGTAATACTAGCTACTGAGGAGGCTGAGATCTGAAGATCAAAGTTCAAAGCAAGAAAGTTGTTGAGAGTCTTTAACCACAAAAAGCTGGAAGTGGAGCTGTGGCTCAAGTGGTAGAGTACCAGCCTTGAGCAATCAAGCTAAGAGATAGCTATCAGGCTCTAAGTTTAAGTCTCAGTGCGCACGCACGCACGCACTCTCTCTCTCTCTCTCTCTCTCTCTCTCTCTCTCTCTCTCTCTCTCTCTCTCGGTGGTGCTTTTTTAATACTCAGTTTTAAATTTCTGTGTCTAAACTTCCTTCATATTATAATTATTTTGTTTTCTCTTTTAGTTGCAGTTTTAAGGTATTTAATAATTTCATCAAACATTGACTCACTGCTGTTTGCTAGACCTGATTGCAGGTTCTCTAGGCATCGTGCAGAAGACAGTTGGGATCCCTGCTCTCATACTGGGCAGACAGGAGATCATATCTATTTAGCATAAACCCATTGCATATTTCTGTATATAAGTAGGATGCACTGATGGTGGTAGTGGGGCAGGGATCTACTTTCCTACTTTGGATAGAATGGTCTTTGAAGACTTCTTTTATCTGGGATGCAAGGATCAGACAGGAACATGAGAAACAAGAGGAAAGGAAATCAGCCAGAGGAACCCAAAGGCCCTGAGGCTGGAACAAGTTTAGCTTTTCTAGAGTAAGCAGATTTTAATGAGAGTTTCAAGAGTGGCAGAAAAGCATGGGCGACACTATGCCAGAACTTGACGGCCACATGAGTTGAGACTTTATTGCAAATAGTGTGGGAAGCTATTGGAGGTTTGGGGAAGGTTTTCATTACTTTGAAACAGGAGGCCAGTGCAGAGGCTGTTGCAGTGGTCTTTGGGAGAGACAATGGTGGCTGAGACACTGGGTTGTGACAGCAAGATGGAGAAAAGAGGACATTGCAAGTAAATCACTCATGGATGACATATTATCCATGGGGACTGCATTCTGAGTTCTCAACAGCTCAGGCACAGATTAACTTCTAGGATACTTTTTTAATTTTGTAGAGGTGTTTGCCTTTTTAAATGGTCTTTATATGAGTGAAATTGTCCTTTTTTTTTTTTGGTCGATCGTGGGGCTTGAACTCTGGGCCTGGGTGCTCTCCCTCAGCTCTTTAGCTCAAGGCTAGTGCTCTACCATTTAAGCCACAGCACCACTTCTGGCCTTTTATATTTATGTGATACTGAGGAATAGAATCCAGAGCCTCATGCATGCAAGGCAAGCACTGTCCTCTGAACCATCTTCCCAGCCCCATCCTTTCTTTTTGAGATAGGGTCTTGCTATGTAGCTCAAGACCTCAAAAGAGCTTGAAATCAAGAAGTGGGAGCTAGAAGGAGTCAAGGTATTATTGTCCTGCTGTTTTCATTGCTTCTCTCTGTCACATCCTTTTTTTCTCTCTGTGTAGACCAGCTTTTCCTGCTCCCCACATGTTGAAAGTTGGCTTGCAAAGCATCCAAGTGTTTAATCTTCTGCATGTGAGGTTATTGTGATTTGAGGCTAGAATTTCTTCATTCCAATTCAGAGTTTTAGGGAAAGAGTCATGTCCCAGGTCAAATATGGCCTCACCTCTTCTCTCCTTAGCTATGACCAGAGATGCGGGACTATGTTCCAGCCATGCCCACCTCCATAGTCAGTAGGGGACAGGAAGCAGTTCCCAGAGAAAACAGAGACCTCAGAAAAGATCTTTTGTGTTCTTTAGGCAATTTAGCGTTGTTAAAGCAATGTGACATCCTGATAAAAAAATTATCATCCTGATATGCTCAGTGTTTTTCAAGCCCCAGCCCCTGGCTACACAGCCTTCATGAAGACCACGAGCACAGGTCATGAGCATAACAGCTCGCTCTCTTCCTTAGTGTGAAAGCTGTACTTCTTTTTCCTTTCACCTTGCAGGTGCTGGCAGCCCTTTGTGGCCTTTTTCCATTATTTTTCTCCCAGCCATCCCTGTGTCTCCTTTCCAGCCCACATTCCCTGTCATAGGGTTGCCTCTAACCTTAGCCTTGGACTGTTCTGGGCAAGGTCTGTGTCTCTCCCAGCCCCCAGGCTTAGAGCACTTTTTCCTCACTCATCCCGTTTTTCTGACTTAGCTAGTGAACTTGCCACTTCTTTTTCTGATAATACTGTGGCATCCACTTATGTGCTTAGAAGAGTACCTGGAAAATACTTGGTATGTATCAGCTGCTATCATGACAATCAATTATTAGAATACGCACTTTAAACGTACCATTCCTACCCAGTATAGAGTTTGTTTTCATTTTTTTTTGGTCGGTCGTGGGGCTTGAACTCTGGGCCTGAGTGCTGTCCCTCAGCTCTTCAGCTCAGGGCTAGCGCTCTACCACTTGAGCTACAGCACCTCTTCCTAGAGTTTGTTTTCTATTCTTACCAACTTCTGATCTCATGTTTCTCTCTCTTTTTCTTTGTCTCTTTCTCTCTCTCTTTGCCTTTTGCCAGAACTGGGTCTTGAATTCAAGGCCTTGAACTTGAGCTCAGCTTTAGCTTTTTCCTCAAGGCTGCTACTCTACTACTTGAGTCAAGCCTCCAGTTCTGGCTTTTTGCTGGTTAATTGGAGATAAGAATATCTGACTTAGTCTGCCTGGGCTTGCTTTGAATCTTGATCCTCAGATCTCAGCCTTCTACATAGCTAGGATTACAGGTATGAGCTACCAGGTATCCTGAAGCCATTGAATTGTTAAGTCTCAGTGAAAGTAAACACTTAAAATATTTTAAACTGTGTGCAGGTGGTTTGCAAACCTACCTACTTAGTAGGCTAAGATCTGAGGACCACAGTTCAGAACCATCTTGGGCAGGAGGTAAGTGGAGCTGTGGCTCAAGTGATAGAGTGCCAGCCTTGAGCACAAAAGCTGAGGGACAGTCCCCAGGCCCTGAGTTCAAGCCTCAGGACCAGAACACACACATATATACAAAAAATTAAATATGTTTGGCCTGGAAATGTAGCTTAGTGGTAGTGTGCTTGCCTAGCATGTATGAAGCCCTGGGTTCAATTTCTCAGAACCACATAAACAGAAAAAAACCAGAAGTGGTGCTGTGGCTCAAGTGGTAGAGTGCTAGCCTTGAGCAAAAGAAGCTCAGGGATAGTACCCAGGCCCTGAGTTCAAGCCCCAGGACTGGCAAAATAAATATGTTTATAAGCAGTTAGATTATAACTACTATCTGTTGATGAATCCTTTTCCTAAGTCTTTGCACCTCTCTGTACTGTGCTGAATAGGCTGTCCTTGTCTCAGCATGGTATCTTGGTAAACTGTCATAGATAGAAGTCTTGCATTCCCTGTTAAGAGAAAAAGTCTTGAAAGTCTCTTGGTGGTCCAGTGCACTGGGGCATGGCCCAGGCATGCTGTATTGATAGGCAACATGGTCATCTTCATTCTTTTTTCTCCCTGCAGCCTGGTGCAAGCAGAATACTGGCATGACCCCATAAAGGAGGACGTGTACCGCAACCATAGCATCTTCTTGGCAGATATAAATCAGGAGAGGGTAAGCATCCAGCCAGGCTCCCAGCATTAGACATTCATTTTTCTCTTTAGAGCATCAGAAATTAGCAATGGCTGTTTACCCAAACTATCCTGGGTAGAACTGGGAACTAGAAATTCTGTGTTTAGGGAGGCAGTGTTTGGGAATTCAGCTCCTTGTAGAGAGGCTGGCATTCATTGGCCTTCCTCTCTGTTTTGTTTTTTGCTGTCGTGGGGCCTGAACTCTGTGCCTGGGCGCTGTCCCTCAGCTCTTAAGCTCAAGGCTAGTGCTCTACCACTTGAGCCACAGAGCCACTTCTGGCTTTTGCTGCTTATGTGGTACTGAGGAATCGAACCCAGGACCTCATGCATACAAGGCAAGTATTCTACCACTGAGCCACCTTCCCAGCCCTGGCCTTCCTCTTTGAAGTCCTTTCCCTTCTCTTGTGTGGAAGCAGCAGAACAAAGTCAGTAGGTTGCTAGCTGGGTAAAGTAGAAATCCCACAGCAGCTGCCTCCTGAGGAAAGCCTTCCTGGGAGGCCTTCTGGACAGATTTTCTCAGAAGAGGGATTTACCTAGAAGAGATATTGCAGTGGGCACTGATAATGCCTCAAAAATGAGCATGGCTTGGGAAGATCCAGGATATTTGATTTATATTAAAGTTATGTGGGTTTTGTTTTGTTTTTCTTTTTGGTCATGGGGCTTGAACTTGGCTTGGGCGCTGTCCCTCAGCTCTTCAGCTCAAGGCAAGCATTCTACCACTTGACCACTTGAGCCACAGCGCCACTTTCAGTTTTCTGTCAGGGGTATTTATATGGTAAAGGCTGGGGGGTCTATGTTAAAGATAGTTTATTTTTGTTCTAATCACTCCTGGTGTTATACTTTCTGAGTTTCTGGATGTTTGGGGCATTTCTTCTAGGTAAGAATGCATCCTGCCATAAAACAAATGCTTGCCAGGTGCTGGTAGCTCAAGTCTGTAATCCTAGCTACTCAGGAGGCTGAGAACTGAGGATCGTGGTTCAAGCCAGCCCAGGCAGGAAAGTCTGTTAGACTCTTATCTCCAGTTAACCACCAGAAAACCTGAAGTGGTGTGGTATCTTAAGTGGTAGAGTGCTTGCCTTGAGCTGAATTGCTCAGGGACAGTGCCCAGGTCCAGAGTTCAAGCCCCATGATAGACAAAAAAACAAAAAAACAACAATCAAAAAAAAACACCAGATGCTAGCAGGGTGCCTGTGGCTCACGCCTGTAATCCTAGCTACTCAAGAGGCTGAGATCTGAGGATTGTGGTTCAAAGCCAGCCCGGGCAGGAAAGTCTGAGACTCTTATCTCCAATAAACCACCAGAAAACCGGAAGTGGCGCTGTGGCTCAAGTGATAGAACTGCTCCCCTTGAGCTGAAGACCACAGGGACAGCACCCAGGCCCAGAGTTTAAGCCCTATGGACCGACTGAACAAACAAAACAAAACACCAGATGCTTATCCTTGAGATAAAGAAGGCTTCTTATTGTCTACATTTTGGGTAGGAGGTTGCTTACAATTTGGAGAAGCACTTCTCAGGAAGGCATACATCCTGCCGTATAAATGTTCATTCTTGGGGTGAGAAACACATCTCTCAGGAAGGAATGCATTCTGGTTATTTTGAGCATAGATTGCTCTTCTGTTTTAATACCTTGTTTCTGAATTGCCTCACAGGCCTCATTTTCTTCAACTTATCCTGCGTCATTTTACCCTAAAATTACTTTGGTCCCTTAATCTTAAGGGAAATAGATGAATGAATATCCATATTTGCTCTAAGCTTACCATGCCTCATTCCCTCTAATCTGTCTTGCCTCCATATAACAGAACAACTCAGAAGCTTCAGTTTGTTCTGTTTTCTTCCGCTGGTTAGTTCCCTTGAATCTGTGTGACTAATGCCTATGGAATGTAGACTGTTAGCCCTGGTTGGTGACATGCCAGTCACAAGATGGTAAGAAATGGCAGTGTAAGGTATATTCTGGGCAGAAATCTAGAAAAGGAGCATATTATGTTCATGGGTCAGGGTAATCAGAACGCTGAAATCCCCCTGCTGGAACCTGATGGTAATGCCACTACTGTCTTTTTCTTCAGTATGTCAATGTATCCTACAAGAAAAATCTGATGGCTCTTAAGAAGTTTGTGATGGTGAAATTCCTCCATGATTCAGTTGTGGACCCTGTAGAGTCTGAGGTGAGATACTACTTAAGCCATAGCATGTCACGAGCCTGTAGGAGAAAATAGTTCTGAAATACAGCTAGCTACCTGCTGGGCAAAAGCCTCCAGTCCTCCTCCACCACCCTTTCTATACATCAAGAGTTCTGAGTGAGGTTCATAAATGGGACATGGAATTGGTTATTGTTGGGATCCATCACAACCATCCCAGGGGACTACATGGAGGCAGGCAGGCACTGGAGAAAGATTATTATTGTTAATTTTTGTTGGTTGTGGGGCTTGAACATTGGGCCTAGACTGTCCCTGAGCTCTTTAGCTCAAGGCGAGTGCTCCACCACTTGAGCCACAGTGCCACTTTCAGTTTTCTGGTGGTTAATTGGAGATTAGAGTATCATAGACTTTTCTGCCTGGGCTGGCTTTGAACTGGGAGCCTCAGATCTTAGCTTCCTGAGTAGCTAGGATTATAGGCGTGAGTCACTGGCACCCAGCTAAAAAAAAGATTATTATAAGGTTTATTAGAGGGGAGGGGCCATATCTCCCTAGAGAGAGGGAGCATATGGCATCTGCCTCTATTCAGGTGGGTAGCTTTGGGGCTAGTGGCAAGGTATGTACACAGGTAGGGCTGGGTGGAGAGAGGGAATGGCCAGCCATAAGGTGGGAACTGTAGGGCAGGGAGGAGCTCAGGTCTGGGTAGAGCTGAGGACCAGAGGTAGGGATAATGCGAACAGTTAAAACTCCCAATTCCACTCCAATATCATATGCAAAATTCTATCATTACATTCTGTTGGGGGGAAGAGTCTATCATTTTAATGATTTTCAAAGAAATCTAGGATTCACTAGCCTATTAATCCTTAAGTTTGGTATTCTAGGCTTTGACCTGTCTTTCCAGCTTCATTTAACCTAGGGCTCTACATCACTCAATGTTTGATCAAACCGTATTGTAGTACTTGAAATTCCCCAAATTTACATGTGTTTTCTCTCATGCCTGAGTTCATGCTTTTTCTTTAGGATGCCTTTCCTTGGCTTTCCCACCTGAAAAACTCCCATTCTTTTTTTTTTTTTTTGGTCAGTCATGGGGTTTGAACTCTGGGCCTGGGCACTGACCCTCAACTCTTCACCTAAAGGCTAGCATTCTACCACCTGAGCCACAGCACCACTTCTGGTTTTCTGCGTAGTTTATTGGAAATGAGTCTCATGGACTTTCCTGCCTGGGCTGGCTTTGAACCGAACCATGATCCTCAGATCTCAGCCTCCTGAGTAGCCAGGATTACAGGCATAAGCCACCAGGGCCCAGCAAAACTCCCATTCTTATGACAAGGCCATATGCAAATGCTACTTCCTATAGGACATTATCCCTCTTCCAGGCACAGTTTGCTTTCTAGTTATTAGTATCTACTAAAGTTCTGCTCACATTTACAGACCACCAGGTGTTGTCCGGTGTAAACTAGATCTTGCTGGCCACATTTTCTTTTTTTGGTCCAAGACCAAGTCTAACTTGGTACCTGATGCTTTCGTTCATTGGCTGGTGCTCTACCAACCAAGCCATGCCTCCAACTCCACCAATGACATTATTGAATGGTTTGAGAGCTAAGAATTTTACATGGTTAAATAATTGGGGAAAATTCCAAGGCTATTTTATGATACGAGTTAGAATTTGTTTGTAATTGAAGTTTCATTGAGACAGTCATACCTATCTTTCACATATTTCTAAGAAATGAAAGGCAAGCGACCAATATGGGCTCAAGGCTTTATTGGGACAGACCTGCTGGGCTACTCCAGGCAGGAATGGAGGCAGCAGCAGTGGACACCTAGGTGCAGGTGGAAAGTCCATATTACATGGACTTTGGGAATTTGGGGGTAGAGTCAAGTTTTGAGAAGTATTATGAATGTGTTATGTGGTCTACAGGAATTGGGGGAGAGTTACATTCCTAAAAGGAGTATGATGATACTTTTGGAGCTGGGACAGAAATTTGTACATCACACCAGGAAAACAATACAGCATTGGGGAAATAGAAACTGATTTTTGTAAACAGGTAGGGACACAGGGAGGGGATGTAATTGCAAGCTGAGTCTGAGGCCTGAGAATATTGTGTCTGGCTACTTTTGTGTTACAGTGGAAGCAGAGAGTAGTTAACAGCCATATGGCCCTAAAGCCTAACCTATTTTGGGTCTGGCCTTTTGAGAAAAATAGCTTGCTGACCCCATGCTAGACTGTAAATGGTTCTGTGACTTGCCAGATGGACTTGCTAGATGGGAGCTTCTTGGGAATCTCGTAGAAACAAGGATCATAATCACCCTAGAATGACTACAGAGTTTATTACAAGGATTTTTAGGGTTGGTATAATAAAAGCAGCAGAAATTTTTGGTAAATGGTAAACTCTTTAGAAAGACCAACTCATTCCTAAGGAATGACTTTTAAAATGAAGTGACTTGAACTATACCCCTATTTTTCCTTCTTGCTTTGTGTTTGTGGGGGGGGGGG